ACTAGACCTCTATGAAAAATTAACAAAAATCAACAGTCTTCGCAGGCGCCTCTGCGACGTAGGTTATCTTTCTCGGGTTAACTCCGTTGAAAGCTATCATATAATTATGACTTTTATCTTGAATCGAAGCTTGAAATCTCTAGTTTACAACGGTGCGTTCTAATTGTTAATATCACGCATCCCCATGACTCCAGCATCCTAAATACCGAAAAGGTGCAGAGTCCAATACCCTCTATGGACAAATTTATCATTTGGAGTGAAAAAATCGTAACGACTTAATTCGGTCCTCGAATTAAAGGCGAAAGTCCGAATTTTACGATGTTGTAAATCGTATGCTCGGAACAAATTTTTGCAAGTTCACAAAAGGCGTTAATCTTTGCACTATTTAGGTATCGTGAACGCATCCTCAGATTTAAGATGCTACAGTCATGGAGATGCATCATATTGGAAATCAGAACATGGTACCGTAAAGTAGAGATTTCAGGCTTTAATTTTTGTTTAAAAGATCATAATTTTATGATAGTTTTGCACGGAGCTACAGCGGTTCGAATATCGACGGTTTCTCGGCCAAAATTGACCGACGCTTCAATTTTGCTGTTGAGCGTAAATTCTGTCTCCGCCGAGAGCAGAACCGCGACGAAAAACGAAATGGAAACAAGGCTAATTCCTGTCAAAGTGAATCGTCATCGGAGGATCCTCGGCCCAGCGACAAGAGGACTAAACCGAAAGCAAAACTGCCGGGGGCGATTAACCCGAGAAAGATAACCTACGTCGCAGAGGCGCCTGCGAAATAAACAACTGACTGCACCGTGGATGACGCAAAGACTGGAAGCACCCACTTTGCCAAGGCATGTGCGAAGCAACATTGAAAATATTCTTCCAAAATCTGCTGTACAGGCTTCCACAGATGATGAAGAAGAACCCTCAGCCAAAAAAAGGCGTTATTGCAGTCTTTGCACGTCTAAAAAGAAAAGAATGTCAAAGATGACCTGTGCCAAATGCAAAAAGACAGTTTGTGGTGAACACAAGAAAGACGTTTGTCATGACTGTCTCTAAAGAAATTTTTTATAA